TCTCAGCTACTTGGAAGGCTGAGGCATGAGAATCGCATGAACCCAGGAGGCAAGGGTTGCAGTGAGCCAAGATCGCCCCACTGCCCTCCAGCCTGGGTGACAAAGTGAGACTCTGTGCCAAAGTTGTTTCTAGCTAGTAAATATAGAAACAGCTCCAATGTCAAATAAATTTAACTGCAGGACTTCTCAGAGCCTTTAATAAGCTAATGTGCAATTCTTTATGCAAGATAGGGGATAGAGAAAGGAGTTACTTCTCAGGCTTTTAAGACCACAGAGGCTTTGTTTGTGATGAGCATCTCATAGGATTAGTTTTGGGGAACATACTCTGAAGATCCTGCATGAGGGACAAGCTTCCCTAAGCCAAGAGAAGGATGGCAGGAATTGTGCTCTGGCCTGCCTGAGGTTATTCAAACCTTTTCCAGGGCCCAATCTGGTTGCTGGAAAAACCTGCGAAGCTCTGAAGAAATGGGGCTGTGGACAGGGAGTTAAGCTGCGGGTCAAGTTTTCAACTAGCTCCCTGGTACCTTTCTTGCTACGCTGCAGGATCTCATTTGCCTCTTTCAATGTCACGCCTGCTGGAGCCACCACCAGCTCGATCCTTGGTGTCATCACCTGTGGGGCCAGGAACATTTGCCTGCAGGTTGGCAGGTGAGAGAGAAGGAGCCAGGCCTCCCTCTGGTCCCTGGTCACAGGCACCAGTCTGAGGCCCCAGCGTGAGGGTCCTCTCTGCACCCAGCCGTTTCCCTGCCCTGCAGGTACCTCACTGAGGAGGGTGGTGTGGTCCTTCTCAGCAAGAAAGTCGATGTCTCGGGAGGTGACGATGCCCACCAGCTTGCTGCCCATGGTGCCCGTCTCAGTGATGGGGATGCCAGAGAAGCCATGCCGCATCTTGGCCTCCAGCACATCGCCCACAGTGTGCGAGGGGCTCAGCACCACGGGGTCCGTAATGAAGCCCTGTTCAAACTTCTGCGGGCAGAGATGGGGGAGGAAAAGGCTGAAAGAAAGCCCAGGATGATGTCTGGGCTGGCCACAGGGAACAGATGACGTGGCTGTGCCACAGAGAAGCCAGGACCCTCAGTGGGATGAGGAACCAATGGGAAATGAGGGTTTGGCCCCACGACCCCACTGAGAGGAAGGACGCCCAGGGAGTGCGACAGTGCAGGGCTGGCAGGGGAGGCTGGGAGGGCCTCTGAGGTGGGCATTGCCAGGTGGCATCTTGCTGGGGACAGGCCTCATACTTGCCTTGACCTTCCGCACCTCGTTGGCCTGGAACTCTGGGGTGCAGTTGTGGTGAATGAAACCAATACCTCCCATCAGCTGATGTAGAAGGGAAGGGTGGTTAGAGCCGGGGCCCATCTGTCCTTAGCCCTGCCCCTCAACACAGCCCGCCACGGTCAGTTCCCATGCTCTGGAGTCCCCACACAGGTGTGTCACTCACAGCCATTGCAATGGCCATGTCGGCCTCTGTCACAGTGTCCATGGGGGAGGAGATCAGCGGTGTCTTCAGCGTGATCTTCCGGGTCAAGGCTGAGGTCAGGTCCTGAGGATGGAGGCACAGCCCATGTGAAGACTTATCACCCTCTGGACAAACATTCACCAGCTCCTACATATACCCAGCACCAGGACAGGCCCTGGGGACATGGCAGTGAACAAGGTGGATGAGGTCCCTGCTCCTCTAACGGAGCTTATGTTCTACTTGGAAAGAAAGATGACAGACAGGACACATGCTCAAGATGACTTCAGTCAGGATGAATGCTGCAGAGAAAAACAAGAAGGCCAAGTGACCACTGGCAACCAGTTGACTGGGGAAAGCCCCTTTCCTGGGAGGGGACTGGTGGGAGCCGATCGAGTAGAAGTCAGAGAGGCTGTCACTCCCGGCCGAAGGGGCCAAGTGCAAACCTTCCTCAGAGTCCAATTCTTTCGGAGGCACATTTAAGAAAGAAAAAGGAGGACGGCGGAGTGGAGGGCAGGGAGAGGCGCGAGGAAGGTAGGGGCAGCATGCTTGGCCTCAAAGACCATGGCGAGAAGCTCAGATCCGACTCTGAGAGAAGCCATTGGAGGGTCCTGACAGAGACATAATCTAATTTATGTTTCAAAGAAGTCACTCAGGCTCCGACGTGGAGAACGGATTCTGGGTGACAAGAGCTGAGGTGGACGGAGGCGTGGAAAAGTCTTTTAGGCATCCAAGAAAGCAAGTGACTAATGGTCTGCAGCTCAAGAGAGTGGACAGGATTCCAAGTATCCATTTAAAAGCCACCTGCCCATGGAGGTAAGGCCAGAGCACATACCCCTCTGAGGGTAGGGCCAACAGTGGTGGACCCCGGCCCCCAAGACATTTGTGCAGACTTTGCTACATAATTTTTTTTTTAGATTCAAAGCCCCTGAAACCCATCACTGACCCTGGTTCAGAATTCTAGCCCCATGATCTAGAAAACACCACCTTCTCCTCTTACATCATGCCACAGAAGGGCCATAGCCTTCCTGACAGAGGAGGCCACAGGATAGGGAGACCCTCACCAGCCAAGCAGAGGTTTTTCTTTTTCATTTTTTTTTTTTTTTTGAGATGGCGTCTCACTCTGTCGCCCAGGCTGGAGTGCAGTGGCGTGACCTTGGCTCACTGCAACTTCTGCCTCCCAGGTTCAAGAGGTTCTCCTGCATCAGCCTTCTGAATAGCTGGGATTACAGGCACCTGCCATTATGCCCAGCTGATTTTCATATTTTTAGTACAGAAGGGGTTTCACCATGTTGGTCAGGCTGGACTTGAACTCTTGACCTCAGGTGATCCTTTCATCTCAGCCTCCCAAAGTGTTGTGATTACAGGCGTGAGCCACCACGAGCAGCTGATAGGGGTCTTTTCAATCCCTCTCTTCCTAGCAGCCAGCCCAGTGTCTGACACAAAGCCACCATACTCAGCAAACTTTGTTAAACTGAAGAGCTGCACCAAGAAGGCTTCCTTGTTGTCATAAGGGAAACAACCAGAATCATCCGAATTTCTCCCGAAAATCTGTCTGGGTCAGCTCTGGCTACACAGAGGACATGAGCTTCCCTCACACATCAGTGATCCAGGCACACTCAGGCCCTCTGGCCTTTCATGAGAATCAGATCAGAATAAATAGCAATAATAATAGCAACAGAAAACAAATGGGTTTTTTCCCAAAATGCATGTGAATTCATCACAGAATCATGGTACTCTTTCTTGCAATGACTTACACCATCATCACTACCCACCTTGGCTTCTCTGAGAGTATCTTATGTTAATTGTTTATTGATTCAGCTCATTGATGAGCCTCCCCTGGGAAATCAAAGCACTATTTCCTTGTATTTTTTTGAAATGTAACTCTTTCAAATCCTCTTGCCAGTTCTTGCACATTGCAGATCAGTGAACAAGTCTGTCTACCATTTTCAAGTCTCCATAATTTTACTGGTTTCTATCATGCCCTTGTTCAGCAATTCAGACAAAATCCAATCCTTACGGTCTCTATGATAAGACAGCCACTCCCAAGTGCACCCCTCCCAGGCCTCCTCTGAACCTGCCCACAGGCTCTGTCGCTGATATAGAGCAACCCAGCCCTGGACCAGGCCTCACTCAAGACACTCCTGTGTCCCCATAGCTGCCTCTGGCCACATCAGGCATAATCCTTTGATGTCTGCCAGTTTCTCTGGCAACAATAAAGGCTACATCCACCCATTCTGGCTGGGTGAAATCACCCTTGTAATCACAGCATTTTGGAGGCTGAGGTGGGCAGATCACTTGAGCTCAGGAGTTGAAAGCACCCTGGCAAACATGGCGAAACCCTGTCTACACTAAAAACACAAAAATCATCTGGGGGTCTAAACTAAAAACACAAAAATCATCCAGGGGTGGTGGCATATGCCTGTAATCCCAGCTGCACGGGAGGCTGAGGAAGAAGAATCACTTGAACCTGGGAGGCGGAGGATGTAGTGAGCTGAGATCACACCACTGCACTCCAGCCTAGGTGACAGAGTGAGACTCTCTCAAAAAAAGCAGGGGGAGGGGCTACATCCTATCCACACATTCCCAAAAAAAGTCTCTCCACATCTGCCCCTGAGCAAGAAGTCAGCTCTTCCACGGCACATACAGTCCCCTCCCCTTGTCAAAGGAAGATGTACTTACCACCTCATCGGCAATGAAGTCTATGAATCCTGGGAGGATCAGGAAGTCGCTGTGAAGACAGAGAAGTGTTACTAGTGGGGAGGGGTGCCCCAAAGGGGCAGAGCCTGCCATGCCAGAGGAGGCAGCAGGGGCATGCAGAAAAGCCTACAGGAGCAGAGGCTAGAGCCCTCCCGTCCCTACTGCCCCATCAGGAGCTAGAGCTGCCCCAGGAGCTAGAGCCAAAGACAGCGGAAGGTCTGCTGGGGCGCCATCAAGGCAATAGGCCCAAAATATCCACTGCCTTCAGGGCTCGGAGTTTGTCAAGCGACACAGAAGTTCCCATATTGCCACACGCAGCAGACACAGTGCCTGCCTTTGAAAACTTCTCAATCTTGATAGGGAGACAAAATAAGTAAACACAGAGAACAATTTTGTAGCACAGCACAGCATGAACATGACCCAGCACGCCTGGGCTGCTGAGTCACACAGGGCTGGAAACAGCATGGAGGGACCCCAGGGGGCTGAGTGCAGGGCATATTCTGACAGAGCAGGCACTCAACAGAATGGCCAGGATGGGAATGGGGAGGAAAGAGGCCTCAGAGGTGGGATCAGGACACTGGGGCCCCAGCCAAAGGATGGCATCTGCCAACACTAGGGTGGGCCACAGTCACAGCAAACCCCGGAAGGGGAGTGCAGGCCTGTGTGGGTACATCTAGGTGCAAGGCCATAGCTCAGGGCCCCAACCAGCTAAAATCACAGCAGGCCTTGACAGACACACCCAAAAGCAAATATCCCACACTTCAGGAACACTCTGAACTGGGCTAAGCAAAGCAGCAGGCATCCCTAGCGCAGGAAGGAAAAGCCACAGGGTGGAGGGGACTGGGCCGTGAATCTGCCCTAAGGCCTAGAGAAACTCCTAGGCGTTCCCCTAGAAGACTTCAGTGACAACTGTATCAAAGGTAGACTCCCATCTCATCACCAAAGACCAGCAAAGAAACAAAGAATGTCAGCTGCTCCCAGCCTTTGGCAGCCCTTCTTCTGTATAGCAAGGAGGCCAAGGGAGAAACGCTGGAGTCTGGGCCTCCTAGCATTTTCTAGGTATTCTATACACCCCTGGCCTACGGGCGGGCAGGAGGAGACACTCCTCAGGAGTGACTGGGTATCCTGGTGTTTAGGGAAACTGCCCCCCAAGCAGGAGTGCTTACAAGCCAGGGCAGGGCTGGCAGGAGACCATGCTCTTGACTGGCCAGCATCCCCGCTCTGCCCCTTCTGATGCTCTTTCCTGGCAGGGACACAGTCCTGCAGCCAGGAGGCAGAGCTAGTGCCAGTCCTGCAGCAGGCAGGACACCTGGCCTCGGGCCCACGGAAAAGGCAAATGAAGCCAGAGGCAGACGGGTAGGTCTCTGTCCTCCTCCAAAACCCCATGTGGGGTGGGATGAGGGGTGACAGTCACAGAATAATTCACGCCTTGGGAGGGGCACCAGGACCAACCTGTGGGCAGGCAGGGACACAACTGGAAAAAGCGCTGGACTGGACGGTTGGAAAAGGAGCCACCCCAACCACCTGGCTGGGTCTCTGCTAGGGCCACGAGGAAGCAGTTGCCTAAGCTGGGCTCCAGGGACCCTCTGCCCTCGTGGTAAGGCTGGGAGGGGACGTCCTGTACTCACGGATGGGAAAAGTCTCCCCATAACGCCCACATCTCCAGTTCCCACATGCCCCAGAGAGGAGGAAGGGGGCCAGGCCGAGCCCAGATCCGGCCAGAAACGGGTCAGGGCTCTGAGGGCCGCGGTGTCGCCGTGCCACGTCCGTCTGCTCCGGCGCGGGCCTCCTTCCTTCCCGTGCCCAGCCCCCAGCGCCCACAGCAGGCACTCGCACCAGGCCGGGAACGCAGGGGGAGCCGCGCACGTGCAGGGCCGGCCCGGGGGTCGCCGCGCGTGGGTGCGCGCACCGAGGGGTCCGAGCCCCCGCTCTTACTTGTAGGTGAGGCCGTCGGCGCTGGCGAAGAGCTGCTGCGCGGTGAGCCCGTCCTCGGGCACGTAGCCGGTGCCGCCGCTGATCAGGTAGTCCGCCATGCTGCCGCGAGACCCCGCGACCCGACATAAACACCCGCGCGGCCGCCAGCCGCTGCCGCCACCGCCGCCGCCGCCGCTGCTGGTGACGCCGCGCCGCGGCCACGCTGCCGCCGGGGGCCAGGCGGGCCGGGGGCGGGGGCTGCGGCAGCGGCGGGGCGGGCCAGGGCGCCGCCTTCTCTTCCCTCTCCTCCCGCCCCTCCGGCCCCTCCTGCGGAGACAGCTCCGCCCGCGCCGCACAAAGGGCCCCGCACACCCGGGCCCTGCCGCCGCAGCGCGCACGCCCCCAGTCGCCTGCAGTGGCCTCGCGACCCAGCCAGCCCGGACTGGGGAGGAGGTGGGGCTCGCGGGGAAGAGGACGGGGCCAGGCCAGGACACGCCCCCTCCTCCGCTCCACTACCAGTCTCCCGGGACCCCTAGCAGAGGCCCCACCCCACCCCCGAGTTCTCCCCCAGCCTGGGCCACCCACTTTGCCTTTCTCCCCAGGGTACCTCTCACACGGTTCTGCCGTTCCCCAATCCCAAGTACTCTTCCCCAGCCCTGATCAAGGCCCGGAGCCCTAGGAAACCGGTCTGGGCTCTCAGCTCCCCCGCACTAAGGACTTTGAGGTTGGACCGCTATCCGACGTCCCTCCTAGGGAGCGGGTATTCTTCACAATGACACTCATTGACCTTTGGGTGGCCTTGGAGCCGTCTGCAGTTTACAAAGCATTTTTCATAAATGATTACATTAATTCCACAATCTATTAATTGCAAAGTATTGGGTACCCCATTCCCTTGACAGGCAAAATCTACAGTTCGGAAAGGGAGGGAGGGGTACTGCTTCTGTACCCCTGTCTCCGGCAGAGAAAATGTTGTTGGTACCAGGGCTTTTAATCTCAGAGAGCAGTTTGTTATTTGGGAGGGTCCTGCAGTGAGCGGGAAGATGAAGGAGGATCATAAGCATGGCTTAGGCAAGTGTGCATACAAATAAGGACGGGGCTAGGGAACTTCTGAAAAATCCCCAAAGCAGAAGTTGGTGGCCCTGGGTACCCAGAAGGATCCTGATTTCTACACGGGGGCAGTGACTGGGTAGTAGATTGATTTGCATGGGGAAAGGGGGGGATGGCAGGATGCCACCCTTCCCTCTTATGGGACCAGAACTCCTCCCTGACCAAGAGCAGGTTTCCCCTACCCAGACTCCACAGCCTCCTCCCTGTGTCCTCCTAGGTCTCCCACAGCTCACTTGGGAAGATGACAATAAGGTGGCATGGGACACAGTCCCCTCCCTGGTAGAGTGGCTGGCTGTGGCCCTGGGAGGCTGGGTTTGTTTACTTCTCAGCAGTGTGGTGGCAGCCAGGCCCAGGGGAGGCTTGGCCTCCAAGCCATGAGGTTCCCTGGGATGCCCAGCCTCCCTCATTGATGCCACCGGGACCCTGCCAGGAAAACACAGACTGTTCCATCTGTGTGCAGATGGGAGGCTGGGGCCAGCTTGCCAGCTATGCCTGGGAAGCACCTCTGAACCTTCAGCACTCACGGGCTCACGAGGTGTGCCCAGGCCACTTGGGGGACCAGGGGAAAGTCCTGAGGAGCACCAGCACTAGGACCTTTCACTGACCACGTGGAACAGAGCAGTGAGACCAGCCAGAGAAAGTGCCTGACCATTCAGAGCTGTTCTGGGGTACCTTTCTGGCCACAGAAGAACAGAGCTATCATGCCAACTGCAGGCACGGAGCAGAGACCACCCCAGTGGTCGCTCTGGGTCACTGGGTCACTAAGCGACCTGCTCTTGGTCTCTATCCCCTACAGTATGGGTCAGGAAAGGCTAGAGTACTATTCAGGGTTCAATCAGAGCCCGAGGCCGAGGAGAGCAGCTGGATTTGACCATATCAGGTGACCTTTACTGTGACATCTGCCCCAGCCTAGAACTCTGGGACCCAAGGGAGGAGGCTGCCTGGCTGAGGCATGGGGAGGGTCACCTTCCCAGTGATTACAGACTTCATGGCCCCACTCCCCTCTCCTGCTCCCCAACTCGCCTCCCACTTTGACCTGTGCCGGGCTCCTCATCACTCTAAGCTGCTGGGCTCAGCCCTGGGTTAGGCTGTGCTTTTCCAGAGACTCCGCTAATCCACCCCCAACCCCCGCTCTCCTCCACCCTCTTCCTGATCTTCCCCAGCTGCTTCCTCCATGGGGAGGAGACACCGAGGAAACCAGTGAGCCGCCGCAGCCAAGGAAGGGCTGTTGTCCCCTGAGACCCCCACCTAGCAGCTGTGGGGATAGGACGTCAGGTCCAAGTCCTTTTCTCAGGGTAGCAAGGTAGCAGTGCTCAGCTGGGTACAGAGGTCCAGGCAGGGAGCCCCAAAGGCTCTGTCTGGCCTGGGGCTGTTTGAATGAACAAGATTTCAAAATACTCTTGAGGGGAAGATGGGGGAAGGGGAGAAGAGGTTATAACATTAGCACTGTTGAGCTAGGACGGGGGCATAGCCTGTCCAAGTTCAAGCCGGAGAGCAAAAACACGGGATTCGCCAGGCGCGGTGGCTCACGCCTATAATCCTAGCACTTTGGGAGGCCGAGGCGGGTGGATCACGAGGTCAAGAGATCGAGACCATCCTGGTCAACAAGGTGAAACCTCGTCTCTACTAAAAATACAAAAATTAGCTGGGCATGATGGTGCGTGCCTGTAGTCCCAGCTACTCGGGAGGCTGAGGCAGGAGAGTTGCTTGAACCCAGGAGGCGGAGGTTGCAGTGAGCCGAGATCGCGCCATTGCACTCCAGTCTGGGCAACAACAGCAAAACTCTGTTTCAAAAAAAAAACAAACACGGGATTCAAACCCAGGACTGCTCACAGAATCCTGTCCTCTTCCCACAGCTCCAGGTTGGTGAAGGCAGGTGGAGGTCTGGCCAGCAGGTTTTGAATCTCACTACACCACCTGGCTGGGGCTCAGGTTTACACAGGCTCTCTGAGCCAATGTGGGGGATGTGGGTGGGGTTGGAGTGGGGGTAGGGATGGCCCATTGATGCAGAACTGCAATTTGGAGAAGGGATGCACTCACATGGCTTGGGCCTGAGCCCTGAAACAATATGTTAGCAATCCCTGCTCTAACCAAGCCCTGACTCCATCAAGCCCCAACCGGCTCCTTCAGCCCCTGTGGCCCCTCCCCATCACCCTGCTGCTTGAAGCCCAGGAGCTGGATTTTTAGGGTGGGAGAAAGTCTGGGGGTTGCCTAAGCCTGAGTCAATTCTAGAGAGACAGCCTGCCCGCACAGGAGGGGACTAACGCAGCAGACCACTGCCCAGGAGCCCCTTAAGCCATTAAAAGTTCTTACATAAGCGGCCAGCCCCTGGGCAGAGCTGCCGGGCTAATTCCCCCAGACCGCCCCCCCAAACCCAGCTGTCAGGTCACCTCCCCAAGCTGCTATACACCAGCAGATGGGCAGAGAAAGAAGTCCAAATCCTCTGGACCGGAAGGACAGTGGGATTGCATTTCAAGCTGCGATACAATCCAGAGATTAGCTGCTGTCTTCTTTTCAGCCAGTCCCCCTGGGGCCCAGCTCACTACCCTACTCTTCCTCCAGCGACCCTCCTACCCCGACAGACCCCAGCACGGGGGCCTGCGTCTTCCGAGAGACCTTGAGGTGAGCTGCCCTGGCAGCCTCATCAGATCTCACTGCATGGTGAGGAGGGAGAGTGTCCTCGCCTAGCCCTGCGAAGGCGATCCATCTGGACACCTGCACCTGCCAGTAAGACCACTGAAGATAGTTCTAGGAGGAAACAGCTAAGGAGGGGTAAGCAAGTCGGACAGGGACTCCAACAAGCACTGTTTGAACCCCAGGGGCTGGAGCCACCTGAACAGGGTGTCGTCGGGTGTATAGCGAGGTCCAATCTAGGGCTAAGATTTTAGGAAACGTTTTGACGACCTGCTTCCTCTCCTCTGCTCCCCAGTGCAACGAAGCACCTAATCCTTAGCACAGTGCCCGCCTGGATCCCCCAACCAAAGCCGAGAACGTGGCGTTTCGGAAAGTTGGAGGCTGAGGCGGTAAGAGGGAAAGGGTGTGTGGGGCCTGCCCCTCCCCTCCCCCGCATCGCCGCCGGGTTCCCAGAGCCGCCGCGCCCTCCTCGGCCGCCCGCCCCGGATGCGCCCCGCGCGCTCTGCCCTGGGCGTCACCTCTCCGGCTCGTAGCCGGCCTGCAGCAGTCGGGCGCTGTACCGCTGCGCCGCCGTCTCGTGTCCCGGGTGTTGCCGGGCTCCGGTCTCCGGAACGGCGGCGGCTCCGCCTCCCTGCAGCGGTAGCGGAATGAGCGGCCCCTCCATGCGGAGGCCGCAGCTCAGGGCGGGCGGGAGCCTCTCCGCCTGGAGGCTCCCCCGGCCCCGGCTGGGCAGTGAGCGCAGCCCGATCGGGTCCCGGGGAGGGGCGGGACCGCCGGGGCGGGGCCTCGTGCCGGGGGCGGGGCCGGGGAATCCGGGAGTCGACTGGGCTCCGCCCTGGGCTCCCAGCTCTCCTCCGCGCCGCCAAGCGGATGCCTAGATTCGGTCGGTCTCTCCCATCCCGGATTCAGCGAGGGTATATCGGGGAATAAGGGGCAGAGGTGTCCCCACACGGGTGGAACTGGAAAGGACTCTGTCCCTTCCCTGCTGTCCGGACCTTCCAGTGTCTCGAGGCCCCTTCTGAGGAAAACCAGAAGAGGACAGGAGCGGGCCGCCGGAGGCAGGGCTTCTCCTCGCGTCTCGGATCCGCTCCTCTGCTGCACGCCGACGGTGCCAGGTCTCCTGGAGCGCCTCCTACCCGCCGGCCGCAGACCTCCCGCGCTGGGGCGAGAGGTGGGGCACTCTCCATCTGCCTGTGCCTGCTCGGCCGGCCCCACGTTCGAGAGCAGGGAGAGAGATTTCCATAGCCTGTCATCTGCCAGGGGACGAACAGAACAGACAAGGCTGCGGGCTCCTTAAGGAACAGGACCTTGCCTCGTGGTGGAGGTACTTTGCCTTGTGATGTTACCCCGTAACAAGGGAGGGGGGCAGAGCAATGTACTCCAGCTTGTTTGTCCACTTCTTAGAAAGCGCACTTTTTCCTACTGTTATCATTGTGAACAGTGATTGAACACCTACCAAAACTGGCAAAGAAATGTTAAGACTCCCTGCCCTCAGGCAGTTTATTTCAGGAGACAGAGTAGACGAAAATAAACAGCTGACAATTCTCATGCCATGTACAGATGGTCCTCGACATACAATGGTCGACTTATGATTTTTCAACATTACAGATGGATTTATCCAGAAGTAGCCCCATCTTTAAGTAAGTCGAGAAGCATCTGGACTTTTAAACGAAGTCTGACAAGTCTGAGGGAATAAATGGTAAACACTACGTGATTGGGGGGTGCTAAAGATGTATTAGGGGTCAGACTTTCAGCTTCTATTTTTTTTTTTTTTTTTTTTTGATACGGAGTCTCACTCTGTCACCAGGCTAGAGTGCAACTCCTGGGCTGGGTTCAAGAGATTCTCCTGCCTCAGCTTCCCAAGTATCTGGGATTGCTGGTGCCCGCCACTACGCCCAGCTAATTTTTTGTATTTTTAGCAGAGACAGGGTTTCACCATGTTGGCCAGGCTGGTCTTGAACTCCTGACCTTGTGACCCGCCCCTCTCCGCCTCCCAAAATGCTGGGATTATAGCCATGAGCCACCGCGCCCAGCCTTAGCAACTATTTCACAAAGGAAGCTGAATTTATGCAACAGTAAGGCCTTGGACTTTATCCATCATGGTGCCTCTTCCTATGCACATACACACCCACTCCCCAGAATCAGGATTCCTTTTTTTTTTAAAAAAAAGTTTTGGACCAGGCACGGTGGCTCATGCCTGTAATCCCAGCACTTTGGGAGGCCAAGGCGGGTGGATCACAAGGTCAAGAGACTGAGACCATCCTGGCCAACATGGTGAAACCCCGTCTCTACTAAAAATACAAAAATTAGCTGCGCGTGGTGGAGTGCACCTGTAGTCCCAGCTACTCGGGAGGCTGAGGTAGGAGAATTGCTTTAATCCAGGAGGCGGAGGTTGCAGTGAGCGGAAACTGCACCACTGCACTCCAGCCTGGCACATGGAGACAGAGCAAGACTCTGTCTCAAAAAAAGCACAAAAAAAAAAAAATTTAGGTCCGGCACAGTGGCTTACACATATAATCCCAGCACTTTGGGAGGCTGAGATGGTCAGATCACCTAAGGTCAGGAGTTTCAGACCAGCCTGGCCCACATGGCTAAACCCCATCTCTACTAAAACATACAAAAATTAGGCCGGGCACAATGGCTCATACCTGTAATCCCAGCACTTCGAAAGGCCGAAGCAGGCAGATCATGAGGTCAATAGTTCGAGATCAGCCTAGCCAACATGGTGAAACCCTGTCTCTACTAAAAATACAAAAATTAGCCGGGCGTGGTGGCGCATGCCTATAGTCCCAGCTACTCAGGAGGCTGAGGCAGGAGAAACACTTCAATCTGGGAGGCAGAGGTTGCAGTGAGTCAAGATTGCAGCATTGCACTCCAGCCTGCCAACAGAGCGAGTCTCTGTCTCAAAA